GAAAAACTTTGGTAAAATATACTTTTTGTAACTTTTTTGAAAAGAAAATATTTTTTTAATTTTATCAACTCTGCTCAATACTATGAGAAAGGTAAGGAAAGCAACAAAGTTCCCTAAAATTCACTTTTTTGTCCATTAAAGCCAATTCTTTAAATCTAAGCCAAAAAGGAATTTCTATTTACGTCTGCAGTTCTCTTACAAAAAAATACAATAGATTTTGAAGTGATCCCATTTACATAGTTAATTTGTAGGGATGTCAAATCGGTCAATTTTCAATACTCGGTTACTCGGACTTTTTTCTGATCGAGTACCCGGGTACTCGGTAAGAGTGTAAATAAATATGAACAAGTAAATTGGAGATTGTAAAACACTGTAAACTCTTGTAGAAATAAAACCAGATGCCCTGATAGGAGGCTTATCCGTAAATCTCTTTCTATTGTAATAATGATGAGCACTTCGTGCCCGACAAAATTTAATACATTTTTTAAAATTCAATTTATTTATCAGATAAACACAAGAAATAAAATCATAAGTTGTTCACAGTGTTTTTGTTTAAAAAAAATAATCTGCTCCATAATTGTAATATAACTCTTTGTCGCGTTTGACAACCAGGTATCAGTTGTCAGAGCTACATACAGTATGGACTTGATCAAGTTCTCCTAACAGAGCAGATTTACGATTTTCGTGTACTTTTTCGATCCTAGATTTTATGATATTACGGGACGATATTTTGTAGTTTGGTGCAACAATGGACATCAGTTTTTTTTTAAGCCTTTGCTTCAACCAGTTGTATTGGCATGTAACAAACACAACCATATCAACAATTGCACGTGTAATATCATCCGCTCTTTTCTCGATAATTTACAGCTTCTCAGAGAATTGACAAAATTGTCTAATTTATTTATACATAATGGATCTTAAACGATGCTCGGTGAAAACAAATAATTAAAGCCATGCAAACAAAACATAGGGGTAGAAGGCAGCCGAAGGTGAGAAAAGTCAGGTACCCCAGGTGCTTGGTCACGTTAATTACTGTATAAACACTGCCACAGGCAATAACGGTCATTTAGAGTCGTAGTAAACCCTAATTACTGTATGTACAAGTGCAATGAGCATTTTACGTTTTAAAACGGATTGTTTAATGCATTAATAAATAATCTTAGAAATATTCAAAAATATACATCCGAGTAACCGAGTACCGATTTTAGTATTCGATACTCGGACGTTCGATCGAGTACCCGGTTAACCGGGTACTCGTTGACATCCCTATTAATTTGTTATTCTGTTGCACTGCTGACATGTCACATCTGGAATATATTTTATTCAACATTGTTTTAAAAATTAAAACTTTCTCAAACCAATTGAACCAGAAGTCTCTGTCGAGACTGAAGCTCTACTGGTTTGTACTTATAGCAAAGGAAGAGAAAAGTTCTTAAGAAGTTGGGAATTGAAACTTTACCACAGCAATAAAAAGAATAATTATCCTTGATTAAGTCTCTTTATGTTCTTAGTATAGTCTACTTGCATGCCACATTATATTATAATCAGACTTAAACTGCAGGAGGAGTAGCATTTTGAGATTTTTTAACAGAAATTTCTATTTTTAGTAACCAAGGCAACACCGTTCATCGAAATCAAAAACCGATAAACAGAATTATGTATCTTAGTGTAGTCTACTTCTATGCCAAGTTATATTGAAATCAGACCAAAACTGTAGGAGGAGTAGCATTTTGAAAGAATTTCATAGAAATTTCTATTTTTAGTAACAACGGCAACACCGTTAATTGAAATCAAAAACCGATATACAGAATTATGTATCTTAGTGTAGTCTACTTGTGTGCCAAGTTATATTGAAATCAGACCGAAACTGTAGGAGGAGTAGCATTTTGAAAGAATTTCACAGAAATTTCTATTTTTAGCAACAACGGCAACACCGTTCATCGAAATCAAAAATCGATATATAGAATTATGTATCTTAGTGCAGTCTACTTGTGTGCCAAGTTATATTGAAATCAGACCAAAAATGTAGAAGGAGTAGCATTTTGAAAGAATTTCACAGAAATTTCTATTTTTAGTAACCACGGCAACACCGTTCATCGAAATCAAAAACCGATACACAGAATTATGTATCTTAGTGTAGTCTACTTATGTGCCAAGTTATATTGAAATCAGACCAAAACTGTAGGAGAAGTAGCATTTTGAAAGAATTTCACAGAAATTTCTATTTTTAGTAACAACGGCAACACCGTTAATCAAAATCAAAAACCGATACACAGAATTATGTATCTTAGTGTAGTCTACCTGTGTGCCAAGTTATATTGAAATCAGACCAAAACTGTAGGAGGAGTAGCATTTTGAAAGATTGTTTACAGACAGACAGACAGACGGACAGACAGACAGACGGACGGACGACGGACGCATTACTATCGCATAAGCTCTTCTGGTCTCTGACCAGTAGAGCTAAAAAACTAGAGGTACTGTATGCAATGAGCTCACTAAATGATACCCCCATATATTCATTACATAATTTTCACTTATATCAATAAATGAAACTCATGTGGAAGCATTCTCAGGTAATGTCATGTAGATTCGTTTGTTAAAATCATGACCCCCGGGGATAGGGCGGGGTAACAATGGCTGATCATGTTCTTCTCCAGAAGTCAGAACCACTTATTTCTCAACAAGCAAGCTGCAGCTAATGACATGGTTATTATTCATGATCACATTGGTAATTTCTCTACACTTCACTTTTTAGTAATTAGATTTTTTTACATTTATAATTGCATCACTAGGCCTACTTAAATCTAGAAAGAATTAAGAAATAAAATACCTTTCTACTTTCGCCTTGTCAATGATTTCTGCAACCTTTTCAAGAATATTGATCCCGATCGAATTACAAATTACCAAATTGTCCTTGTTTTTATAAACAATTTGCAAAAAGGATAAGCTACCCACATACTTTTCAAAACAGGGATTTTTTCCATTAAAATTTATTGCGTTTTTTTATAGAAATTTTGCTTGTCATTTGTTTAAAATTTTCGACTGCGAAAGACAAGACGAGGTGGCCGAGTGGTTAAGGCGATGGACTGCTAATCCATTGGGGTCTCCCCGCGTGGGTTCGAATCCCATCCTCGTCGGAGTAAAATTTTCTTAATTTATTTTCAAAATGTTCACTGCTAACTCGGTAAAACATCTGATTGTGAAACAGCTATCTACATTCGATACACTATGATTTGTCTCGATCCTCGGGTTCTGAAAATCAGGCATTGACTCACAAAAATGTCTCTGAATTCTCAGAGTAACGTGCTTTTACCCACAACAATTCTTCAAACTTTAAAGCTTTTCATATTACATAGGGAGAAATAGCAAATCTCAAATAAATCTTCGGGATGTGCGAATTAAAACACGTGCAATGCATTTTCCAATTCAAATTTGATCAACAAACACATTTTAGAAAAAAATCATAGGTATCCAGGCTTTTGAAGAAATTGCACAATTTTTATACTTATAATTAGTACTTTTTTCTGTAAATTTACTTCGATCATTTTACAATGCTTGGTATATAAAGATTTTCCTATCATTTCAAAACACCATAAATCACTTCTAGTTCCATATATCATGTTAATAAACATTGGTGTCCATGTTTAGATGAAAATAAACCTCAATTTCATTAAACATGTAATTTTAAAATACTTTTATGGGGTAAAAATTTTCAGTTTTTATAAAACATCTTTAAGAAGTTCAAAGAACCTTGTCAGAAGCTCATTAAGGGTTATAAAATGAAAATTGTTGCATGAAAAGAATTGATTTTCAAGGTTCATTTGGAGACTTTTTGAATTAAAATTATAAATTAAAGAGTTATCCTGCCTGGCTGAGGATCGTAGTACCTTTTTAGTTCTAAAAAATGGGATGTATTCAGTTGACAACTAATGAATGAAGGATATGGAGATAACGAACAGTATTCAATATCAAAGTCCATAAAACAATACAAAAATAGGAGCAGAGCAAACACGGACCTCCAAAACATCAGGGGTAGGACCACGTGCCATGGAGGAGTGAGCATCCCCTGCCGACCGGTCACACCCGCCCTGCTCTTTGTCATTATCGGGAAATAACGGGAAAATCCATCGTCAATTCAGTGTATAAATAATGGACTAAAAAATTAGTTTGAAAAACGTCAGTCAGCATCTGACTCAATGATAAATTGCATTTGCTGTCAATGTCATTGTATCGACCATAGAACTTACGAAAAGCATGATGACTTTAAACGAGACTGCTGAAATTTTTGTTTCATCAACTTGTTTGTCAATAATTTACCTCGTTTCAGAAACTGTTCATACGTAGAGCACGCTCTTACGCACCGAATCAACTGAGAGATATAAAGTCCATATGCAGATGATGAAGGTATATTGCTCCATAAATAAAGCCGTTTTTTGCTTATATTTATATCCGTTTAAAAAATTATTTAAAGTAGGATTAAAAAGATTTATTATTGTATTAATGATGCAAACATCTTTGGGTACCGACAATTTTGACCTTGTACTGTGAACCTTAAAAAACGGCAACATTGGCAATAAAATGTTTGGAAATTGGTGCTAAGGCTTTTATATATCAAAGTGTATTTCTTGTGACAAGTCTTTTCCCAGAGTGTCATTGATTTTTTACTATATTGACCAGCCACCTTGATCTGGGAGAAAATGTTGTACTTGGCAATACATATGTATACAATACATGTCACCCTGTGACAAATACATATAACCAAAGGAGGGGGTCCTGTTATATGGATCAAAATAAAATCTGACATATATTCAGCTTATGAAACAGAGAAATATTTTTTGAATATAAAATATATTTAGGCCTAATTAACAATGAATATTATCAGAGACATAAATAACAGTTATTTATGTCTGATATTACAATGAAATCATTATGACAATCATAATGACAGTGATGAAACTTTCTTTCCCATTTCGGAATTCTTTCGGGTATTCAATCTAGATAATACTTTTTCATACACTTCCGGTGTTGCCGATTCAGGGTTTGGAAAAAATGGCTTTTACGTTTGCTGCATTTTGCTATATATTAGCTCTTATTCTAACAGCAGTGTTGATCTTTTTTGCAATTTTCCACGTAAGATATTCTTATGAAAAATATATATTGGGTAATAATCTAATATTTAAGAGGGTCGTTCGAATTTCCTTCATCTTTCTTTTAGGCCTATTCTTCAAAATATAAAATGGTGTTAAATCTGAAACCCAGATGAAAGTAAGAAATAAAAAAAATCTAATTTTTAAATTTCATGTCATAAGGCTTGAACACATTTATTGTGTGTGCGACCGTTGTGGCGATAAAATGGTGTAGTTGTAAAAAAAATCTAATTTTTAAATTTCATGTCACTTAGGTAACACATTTATTGTGTGTGCGAATAATCTATAACCTGTCTTGGGACAAACCCTCACCACAGACACAGAATACGTCCCATATAGATCTCCTTGCAAAGTAGAAAAATCGGATCGCAGGGGTGGGGGGGGGGGTAGTCATTAAGAAGTCATTGACTATTCATACCATTTTTCACAGATCTGCTTTCTTGAGGAGGGGTCAACATTTTCTAGGGGGCGGGTCCAGTGTTAGTTTTACTTGAGAGTTGATTTAGTAATTCTGACACGAAGTTTGAAAAGTACATGGTTGTTTGTATGCAATAGCCATTAAATCAAGGTGTCTGGTGAAGATATTTTTTGTTAATGTTTAATTGTTGTTACATTGAATTAAGCAGAGAGATGCAGACATACTGCAATGTAGGTCTGGAAGTATTTTCTGTGGAAAAGTGTCAGTTGGATTAAATATATAATGTCCAAATTTCCCTATACCCATCCTTTGTTGTTTGAGCTTGCATTTTGAGTGGCACTTTGTGCTCACTATTATTGACATGTTCTTATGGTGCCACCATGCGGGCAAGAGCAGTTGTATACCATCAAAGTGCTTCACAAAGGAACACACTGAAGTTTGATCCGCCTCTTGAAGTCTTTAAACTTTGAACTGCATGAGACAGTAATCAGTATACACTGTGATGCCATTTCTGTAACAGATGCTAAATAGGCCTGTGGCATTTTTTTTTGACAAAAGACATCATACAGTAGATGAAATCATCATTATTTGTTTTTTTAACTCTCTGCAAAAACTAAATCTTAATACATGTAATACACAATAACTGCAGGTCTCTTAATATTCCATTATTTGAAATGATCAATACTGATACCAAAGAAATTCTGGGAAGATTTCACAGAAAAATTCAAAGAAAGATTTGCTTGACAAATCACAAATATAGATTTTAGTTTGAATTATTCCCATCTTTGTTTTTTACACGGTAGTCTGTTAAGCTCACCATGCTTGCTATTAGACTTAACTTAATTAAGTTTATGCCTGTTATGTAAATTGTTTTCTTACTGATTATGATATGATTATTAATGTTTTCTAATTTACCATTTTAACAGATCATTGCCTTTGATGAACTTAAAACAGACTACAAAAATCCAATAGATCAATGTGGCAGTTTAAACCCTGTAAGTACAAATTTGCCTCATCTTCTTTATTAATGTTTCATCACTATACTCATGATTCTTCTGCAAATTGTTATCTTAATTGTTCTGTACATTAAGAACTTGTATAAAAGAATTTTTTATTAGCTGTCCATGAAGTACATTGTACATGACTATAAGTTTTTAATGTTATTTGACAGCTAAATTCATAATTATATACATCTAATACAGGTTTCTTTATTTTCAGCTTGTGTTGCCTGAGTATTTCATCCACATACTTTTCACATTCCTCTTCATCACAGCCATGGAATGGTTTACTGTTATCATCAATATTCCTCTTATCATCTACCATATAAGAAGGTAACTTAGTTTTTATCAGTGAAGACAGTGAACATCATCTAGTATTTACCATATTATATCATATTATATTGACACACATGCATTGTTTGATAGACAATGACTAGCTCTGTACTTTCTTTTAGGGGTAGTCAAATAGAATTTTGCAGTGCTTGCTATCAGAAATGTTACCAGAAAAATTACTCTTCCTATCCTAAAAGCATGCTTGTCCTATCTTTCAAATAACACAAATTAAGTCATTTGATTCCAAAACAAAGGGAGGCATCTGATTTTACCAGAGAGATATTTAGGAGCAAGATTCTAATGATGGGCAGATGTCTTAACACATGCTTTGCATTGATTGAATTCTATTTATTATTTATTTTAACATTTAAAAGCACTCACATGCAGATGTAAATAAACATTTCTGAGTATTTCTTAAACATCTGAAGAATACTGTAATGCCACTTTTTTTTTCCAAGACAATTTAATTCTCAGTTGTTTTAATAATTAAGAGTTCAGAGTTTCTTTTATTGATTGATTGATTGATTGATTTTTTGAACAGTTGATTTTCAAATAATCAGTTGTATCTTTAGTGAAACAGAGAATGATACCTTATTGAAACACTTTCAGGTATATAAACCGGCCAGTTATGAGTGGGCCAGGTTTATATGATCCTACTACTATTATGAATGCTGATGAACTGAATAGAGCCCAGAAGGAAGGCTGGATCAAGCTAGCATTCTATCTCATCTCATTTTTCTATTACTTGTACAGGTAAGAAACATAACAGGGGAAGGGGTGAGGGGTGTAGATTATATTCCAATAGCTGCTAGAATTTTCATCTTTAGGTTGCAGATGAGATATTTGTAGTTCTTGTTTGGGTGTCTGACAGATTCTGAAAATAATTTCCAGCAACAAACCTCTTGATGCATTTTGAAATGAAACATTTGAACTGAAATATCAATACATATTCTGAGATGTAAAACAAGCATGTATAATTTTTGCATTTGATTGCAGAAATAATAATGATAAACTATTGATTTGATGTATTTAATTCACATTAATTGATATTCAAAACATGTCAAATATCAAAAGAGGAATGTCACACCAAATTCTTATTTCCTGAATCCAAAGACCAATCTAAGCTCTTAATTATTATTACATCCCAGTTTGAAAAGTGAAATGCGGTGGGGGATCAATAGTTTCCAGTCTTCTTTCATTTTTTATACCCTTCTGTTATTTACAACTTTTCCTATACAATGTTGAGTTCATAATAATGGTAAGAATTTTTAGCATACCTTTTACAATAACGAAGAATTATTTAACACACAAGGGTAACAATTGCACATATTTGAAGTTTTACAAAGACATGTTTTATAGAAAATATTAAAAAAAAATTTTTGTTCATATTCATAAATGATTTTTTTTTACCAGTAATCAGAGGTAATTAAAATCAAATAAAATTCTGTAGAGTTTGTATTGGTCTTTCAATCGCAAAGTCATTTTTAGCTCACCTGAGCCGAAGGCTCAAGTGAGCTTTTCTGATCACATTTTGTCCGGCGTCCGTCTGTCCGTCTGTCCAGCTGTCTGTCTGTCTGTAAACTTTTCCCATTTTCGACTTCTTCTCAAGAACCGCTAGGCCAATTTCAACCAAACTTGCCACAAAGTATCCTTTGGTGAAGGGGATTCAAGTTTGTTCAAATTAAGGGCCACGCCCTCATTCAAGGGGAGATAATTGGGAATTAATGAAAATTTGGTGGCATTTTAAAAAAATCTTCTCAAGAACCACTGTGCCAGGAAAGATGAAACTTATGGGGAAACATCCTCAGATAGTGTAGATTCAAGTTTGTCCAAATCATGACCCCTGGGGGTAGGGCGGGGCCAAAATGGCCGACCAAAGTTTTACATAGAAATATATAGGAAAATTCTTTAAAAATCTTCTTCTCAAGAATGACAAAGCCATAATTCATCATATTGATATGGGAGCATGCTCAGGTAGTGTAGATTCAAGTTTGTTCAAATCATGACCCCCGGGGGTAGAGCGGGGCCAGAATGGCCGACCAAAGTTTTACATAGAAATATATAGGAAAATTCTTTAAAAATCTTCTTCTCAAGAATGACAAAGCCATAATTCATCATATTTATATAGGAGCATGCTCAGGTAGTGTAGTTTCAAGTTTGTTCAAATCATGACCCCCCGGGGTAGGGTGGGGCCAAAAGGCCGACCAGTTTTACATAGAAATATATAGGAAAATTCTTTAAACATCTTCTTCTCAAGAATGACAAAGCCATAATTCATCATATATATATGGAAGCATGTTCAGGTAGTGTAGATTCAAGTTTGTTCAAATCATGACCCCCGGGGGTAGGGCGGGGCCAAAATGGCCGACCAAAGTTTTACATAGAAATATATAGGAAAATTCTTTTAAAAATCTTCTCCTCAAGAATGACAAAGCCAAAATTCATTATATATATATGGAAGCATGCTCAGGTAGTGTAGTTTCAAGTTTGTTCAAATCATGACCCCCTGGGGTAGGGCGGGGCCAAAATGGCCGGCCAAAGTTTTACATAGAAATATATAGGAAAATTCTTTAAAAATCTTCTCCTCAAGAATGACAAAGCCAAAATTCATCATATTTATATGGGAGCATGCTCAGGTAGTGTAGATTCAAGTTTGTTTAAATCATGACCCCTGGGGGTAGGGCGGGGCCAAAATGGCCGACCAAAGTTTTACATAGAAATATATAGGAAAATTCTTTAAATATCTTCTTCTCAAGAATGACAAAGCCATAATTCATCATATTTATATATAAAAGATATATATAGGAAAATTCTTTTAGAAATCATTTTCTAAAAATAGCAAGTCAGTGATTGGTTATGGGACTACTTTTGGATTTAAACTTTACAATAAAAAGCCATTTTCTACTTTTTCCTACTCTTAGTGCTCAGGTGAGCGATGTGGCCCATGGGCCTCTTGTTCAAAAGACTTTCAATGTAACGAGAACGTGTACCTTATTCCCAGAAATTATGTATTATAAACTATTTAACCTGGATGCATTAAATAAAATAATAATTATTGGATATTTTTAGTATGATCTACACCCTTGTGTCTGGTTAGAGAGGAGCTGAAAAATTAGGAGATTTTTACTTAAGAGTTTTGCGTGTGTGCATTGAGAACAAGACAAACAGTGATATGATCCAGAGAAGAGGAAACATATTCTGCCATACTTTTAACCTTTAAATCAAATTCATCACCCAAAGATGTTTTGTTTTTCTAAATTGATGTTTCTTGGTGCAATATTGTCTTGTATTTGTCACGGTTTGTGTAACAGTATTTTTTAAACCTTTATATAATTTTATGTAGTGTGTATTGTCTCCCATTTAAGTAAAGTAGGTTATTTAAAAATACCAATGTAGTGAATGTACCAAGGTACAATAAAAGTATCTCATCAATGAAGGCTGGTTCATTATAAAGTGGCATAAACTTACTTGTGTGCCAATTATAATATGCTTCTATAATAGTCAAAGAAGTATTATTTTAAAATGACTGTATTCCAAAACAAAAAAAAATGACATTTGCATTTTTTTCTTACTTTAAATATTAAGAGATAAGAGTTTGATTAGTTACTTCTAGATGAAAAGCAATGTATAAATTTCCTTTTAAAAAATATGGCTTAACAAAAGAATTGTTTATATGTGTAAAAGAGTCATACACAAGTCATGAATGATGTTATATCAAAACAAACTACAAAAGTGTGTAGGATGTCCTGTATTAGAGGAAATTCTCCATCTTGTCAATATTGGCATTTTATCATGTGAATTGAATTAAAAAAAGTCATCGTCTTTATAGTTTTCACGGCTTATATTTTACTTGTGTCATTAGATGTATTTTTCTCTTCAGTGTTTACTTAAATCAGGAACAAATAATTTATGTTTTATAGAAGTGTATAAAACATTTACATCACTTTTTTCAATGCTTTTTTATGCTCTATGTTGCATTTGAACAATTTTAAATAAAATAAATGTGATTTTATTACATGATATTTTATTACCTCTTGCAATCTTGTTGTTTGTCAGTCTGCACATATATTACATTGTGTTGTTTAATTATAATGAAGAAAAGGAAGTTCCTTAGAGCCTACCACACCCCCAATCCCAGCACAAAAAAAGAGGATTGATTGATTCTTGTCTTTTTACACTGAGTCGGCAATATTTCAGCCATATTTCGGTGGATTTAAAATTAAAAAGGAAAAAGTAGATTCTATAATTATATTTCATATGTTCTTGAATTCTCTCTAGGTAGCAGCTATCCTTTCCCATTTCATATATGTCAGGAAGGGGGGAGGGGGATTAATCATCTTAACATGTATAAGGAAATGATAACTCCACTTAAACATGATCTAAATTATTAATAATAATATTAATATTTATTAATATGTTTTGCTTACATCTTTGTATTATTCTAAGTCCAAGGGTCAACTTAGCTAATTACTTGTAGGCCTAGAAGTTCTATGGTGCAAGCCTACATGTGAACCCTGATCTCTTCTAGGACTTTTAGATCTAGAGAGATCTCTGGTCTCTATCCAATACTTCTAGATGTGATTTCTGGTCTCGATCTATTACATGTAGATCAAGATATGATCTCTGATCTCTATTACTTGTAGACCTAGATACGATCACGGGTCACTGTCTATGACTTGTATACCTAGATATGATCTCCAATCTCTATTACTTGTAGACCTAGATATGCTTTCTGGTTTGTAATACTTGTAGACCTAGGTATGGTCTCTTATCTCTTTAACATGTAGAGTTAGATATGGTCACTGGTCATAATAGTCACCTAAATATGATCTCTGGTCTTTGTTTATTATTTGTAGATGTAGTAGATGTAGATATGATATCTTTCTATTACCTGTAGACCTAAATTTGATTACTGGTCTCTGTCCATTACCTGTAGACCTAGATATGATGTCTGTCTATCACTTGTAGACCTAGATGTGATTTCTGGTCTCTGTCCATTACTTGTACACTGAGGTCAAGTGATTGATAGAGATCAGAAATCATATCTAGTTCTACAACTAACAGACAGAGATCATATCTATGTCTACAAATAATAGACAGAGATCATATCTAGGTCTACAACTAACAGACAGAGATCATATCTATGTCTACAAATAATAGACAGAGATCATATCTAGGTCTACAAGTAAAAGACAGAGATCATATTAAGGTCTACAAGTAATAGACAGAGGTCACATCTAGGTCTACAAGTAATAGACAGAGATCATATCTAGGTCTACAAGTAATAGACAGAGATCATATCTAGGTCTACAGGTAATAGACAGAGATCATATCTAGGTCTACAAGTAAAAGACAGAGATCATATTTAGGTCTACAAGTAATAGACAGAGGTCACATCTAGGTCTACAAGTAATAGACAGAGATCATATCTAGGTCTACAAGTAATAGACAGAGATCATATCTAGGTCTACAAGTAATAGAGATCAAATCTAGGTCTATACGTAACACACAGAGATCATATCTAGGTCTACAAGTAATAGACAGAGATCTTGTCTAGGTCTACAAGTAATAGACAGATATCATATCTAGGTCTACAAGTAATAAACAGAGATCATATCCAGGTCTATAAGTAATAGACAGATATCATATCTAGGTCTACAAGTAATAGACAGAGATCACATCTAGGTCTACAGGTAATAGACAGAGATCATATCTAGGTCTACAGGTTATAGATACAGATCATATCTAGGTCTACAGGTTATAGACAGAGATCATAACCAGGTCTACAAGTAATAGACAGAGATCACATCTAGGTCTACAAGTAATAGACAGAGATCACATCTAGGTCTACAGGTTATAGATACAGATCATATTTAGGTCTACAAGTAATAGACAGAGATCACATCTAGGTCTACAAGTAATAGACAGAGATCATAATCAGGTCTACAAGTAATAGACAGAGTTCATATCTAGGTCTACAACTAACAGACAGAGATCATATCTATGTCTACAAATAATAGACAGAGATCATATCTAGGTCTACAAGTAAAAGACAGAGATCATATTTAGGTCTACAAGTAATAGACAGAGGTCACATCTAGGTCTACAAGTAATAGACAGAGATCATATCTAGGTCTACAAGTAATAGACAGAGATCATAACCAGGTCTACAAGTAATAGACAGAGATCACATCTAGGTCTACAAGTAATAGACAGAGATCATAACCAGGTCTACAAGTAATAGACAGAGATCACATCTAGGTCTACAAGTAATAGACAGAGATCATAACCAGGTCTACAAGTAATAGACAAAGATCATATCTAGGTCTACAGGTTATAGATACAGATCATATTTAGGTCTACAAGTAATAGACAGAGATCACATCTAGGTCTACAAGTAATAGACAGAGATCATAATCAGGTCTACAAGTAATAGACAGAGTTCATATCTAGGTCTACAACTAACAGACAGAGATCATATCTATGTCTACAAATAATAGACAGAGATCATATCTAGGTCTACAAGTAAAAGACAGAGATCATATTTAGGTCTACAAGTAATAGACAGAGGTCACATCTAGGTCTACAAGTAATAGACAGAGATCATATCTAGGTCTACAAGTAATAGACAGAGATCATATCTAGGTCTACAAGTAATAGAGATCATATCTAGGTCTATACGTAACACACAGAGATCATATCTAGGTCTACAAGTAATAGACAGAGATCTTGTCTAGGTCTACAAGTAATAGACAGATATCATATCTAGGTCTACAAGTAATAAACAGAGATCATATCCAGGTCTATAAGTAATAGACAGATATCATATCTAGGTCTACAAGTAATAGACAGAGATCACATCTAGGTCTACAAGTAATAGACAGATATCATATCTAGGTCTACAAGTAATAGACAGAGTTCATATCTAGGTCTACAAGTAATAGACAGAGATCATAACCAGGTCTACAAGTAATAGACAGAGTTCATATCTAGTTTTACAAGTAATAGACAGAGATCATATCTATGTCTACAAGTAATAGACAGAGACCAGACATCATATCGAGGTCTACAGGTAATGGACAGAGACCAGTGATCAAATCTAGTTCTACAAGTAATGGACAGTGACCAGAGATCATATCTAGGTCTACAGGTAATGGACAGAGACCAGACATCACCTCAATGTCTACAAGTAATAGACAGTGACAAGTGATCATATATAAGTCTACAAGTTATGGAAATAAGAGACCCTATCTATGTCTACAAGTAATGGATAGAGATCATCTCTAGGTCTACAAGTAATGGGCAGTGACCAGTGATAATACCTAAGACTAAACGTAATTAATAGAAAAAGATAACATCTAGGTCTACTAGTATTGGACAGAGAACATATCAAAGACTCTAAGGTCTTTATTACTTGTAGACCTAGATGTGATATCTGGTCTCTGTCCATTACTTGTAGACCTAGATATGATCTCTGTCCATTACTTGTAGACCTAGATATGATATCTGTCTATTACTTGTAGACCTAGATATGATATCTGTCTATTACTTGTAGACCTAGATATGATCTCTGTCTATTACTTGTAGACCTAGATATGATCTCTGTCTGTTACTTGTAGACCTAGATATGATATCTGTCTATTACTTGTAGACCTAGATATGATATCTGTCTATTACTTGTAGACCTAGATGTGATCTCTGTCTATTACATGTAGACCTAGATATGATCTCTGTCTGTTACTTGTAGACCTAGATATGATATCTGTCTATTACTTGTAGACCTAGATATGATATCTGTCTATTACTTGTAGACCTAGATATGATCTCTGTCTGTTACTTGTAGACCTAGATATGATATCTGTCTATTACTTGTAGACCTAGATATGATATCTGTCTATTACTTGTAGACCTACATATGATCTCTGTCTATTACCTGTAGACCTAGATGTGATCTCTGTCTATTACTTGTAGACCTAGATATGATCTGTATCTATAACCTGTAGACCTAGATATGATCTCTGTCTATTACTTGTAGACCTAGATATAATCTGTATCTATAACCTGTAGACCTAGATATGATCTCTGTCTATTACTTGTAGACCTGGTTATGATCTCTGTCTATTACTTGTAGACCTAGATGTGATCTCTGTTTATTACTTGTAGACCTAAATATGATCTGTATCTATAACCTGTAGACCTAGATATGATCTCTGTCTATTACTTGTAGACCTGGTTATGATCTCTGTCTATTACCTGTAGACCTAGATGTGATCTCTGTCTATTACTTATAGACCTAGATATGATCTCTGTCTATTACCTGTAGACCTAGATATGATCTCTGTCTATTACTTGTAGACCTAGATAAGATCTCTGTCTATTACTTGTAGACCTAGATATGATCTCTGTCTGTTACTTGTAGACCTAGATATGATATCTGTCTATTACTTGTAGACCTAGATATGATATTTGTCTATTACTTGTAGACCTAGATATGATCTCTGTCTATTACTTGTAGACCTAGATATGATTTCTGTCTTTTACTTGTAGACCTAGATATGATCTGTATCTATAACCTGTAGACCTAGATATGATCTCTGTCTATTACTTGTAGACCTAGATATGATCTGTATCTATAACCTGTAGACCTAGATATGATTTCTGTCTTTTACTTGTAGACCTAGATATGATCTGTATCTATAACCTGTAGACCTAGATATGATTTCTGTCTATTACTTGTAGACCTCGATATGATTTCTGTCTATTACTTTTAGTCTTAGATATATTCTCTAGTTTCTTTCTTCTTGTAGACCTATATATGATTTCTGGTGTTAGTCTGAAATTGTAAGTTTACACGTTTCTATTTATGATATGATATAAAGTTGGGAAACAGTTATACAGATAAAATTATAAAAATAAAACATTAAAATCTCTCATTTTCTTAATATTTTGCATAGCCTAATGCATGTATCCCAGTTATGTTTTTGTATCTACATGAATTTAACACCAGTCTGACATTACATATACTGGTAGCTTTTCTACATGAACTTGTTAACTGTCAACACCAGTGTGCAAATTTTTTTTGATGAAATTTATGATTGAATTGTGTTTTAAATAACACATCCAGGTCAACGGTATAGATGAAATATTTCATCTTCAGAATATACAATCATAAAAAAACATAATTTCAATTTCTTAAAAACTTCATTTTGAAAGACATTCAAAGTATAAGCATACTAGTATTAAAGATAAAAAGAAAAGATGTATCAAAAATTTGGCAGACTATAATTATTATAATAATTTATACATTTTTACATGTAAATAATGAAATTCAACAATTTCTTGTAACATTTTTGATGAATTTCTGTGATTTAATATTTTGACTAGGAGAAGTCTAGCTGCTTAATGACTAGAGAGTAAAATGGCATGTATATAGTCACAATGTACAGTCAAGTATAATCACATCATTAGAATGAACAATTGACTATAATGTCAAACATTAAAGCTAAGTTTATATGATGATAACCTTAATCATAGTGTGTGTTTTTGGTTGACTTGATCCATTACAGTAAGACAGCTTCATGGGGCCCCTATCATTTCTCCGCTAATTTTCATGTAGGCTCACGGTTGAATGTTCTATTCAACTTCTGGTGGGGGTGGTGAAGACTTTTTCTTCACTTTAAAATAATCTGTCATCAATGTGGATTTTCCATCCAAAGTTCCAGTAGCCTGTCTTTTCTTGCCTGTAATCAATATTGAATTTTCTGTTTTTGAATAAAATGGAAACAAAGTAATATATAGTACAGAAATTCATTACAAAATTAATTTAAGGAAGGGAGTCTTCACATTATTATAAGCTTATATACATTCTGAAAAGTTGATATTTAATATTTTTGAAATTTTTGGATTAAACTCTTACACAAATTAACTTGCAATGAGAAAATAGGAAAAACAAACTATTAAGTAAAAATTTGCCATGTGTCCATAATTTATTAGAGAAAGTTAATCTCTCTCTCTCTCTCTCAGTTTATTCCATTGGTTCAGGATTTGCGTACTTAATCCATTTTCAAGAAGCCTTAGCATCGTTACGGGAAAGGAAAGGAGATTTTATTATTTGAAATATTGCTGCATTACTTAAGATGAACAATACAAACCCTTTAAACTCCATAATATTGCCAAATGGTTTGTTAAACATGCAATTTTTGATTTCTGTTAAGCAAACTCAAAGTTAACCTGACTTCCAGTTATGGTATGAAAATCGTTCAACCGTTAAACAATTGATACTGTATACAGGGTTATTCTCGCCCTTTGACACTTGCAAACAATTTTGCCCCGTTTTAAATTCGCCCAGTCATAGTTTTGTTTAAGAAATTATACTATATTATTTGAGTTCACCCTGTTTTAAATTCGCCCACTTGAGGATAGGGCGAAAGGGGCGAAAATTTCCCTGTATACAGTATTTACCAAATTGAAGATATCTATAATTTTAAGACACAAAATTCTTTACTTTACATAATTACTTCCCCCTAAAGCAGGGTGTTGCGTTTCTTTTGCGTTTCAGTATAGTAATGCTCATGAAATCTTGAAATGTAACCCTTGAGAAAAAAAGCTTTGTATATAGCTCCCTAAAGTGTATGGGGAATGTTCAAAAAGTTCATGGAAGATGTCAATCATTGCTCAAAATTTTCAATATGAGTACAATATGAAATCACAACAACATCATTTATCTAAATCACAAACTGAAAAACAGAATGATGGAAGTTAGTACAGTGAATTTGTATAACAATTATTATCAATATTGGATTCAACAGTAAGAGGAGTAGCTTTCGAAAAATTGTTTCCAGATAGACAGACAAATGGAGAAAAGCCTAATTATAATGCATAAGCTCCTCAGGCCTCTGATCAGTGAGAGACCAGCAGAGCTAGAATGCTGGAGTACCTCTTTTTATCTGTCTCTCTCTCTCTTTCCTTTTGTTTTCTTCTTCCACTTCTGTCTGATACTGTACGACTACATTTTTGTACAACCTCTTAAAGGGCTCTTGATCAACAATGAATGTATAACAATCACCTTGTGATTGGCTGTCAACATCTGAAGGAAAAGGTAGATTTCTTTCAAACTATCAGAGCTTATTTCTTATTCTAATTTCATTATTTTGCAGCTATATGGAAATTTATTCCACTTAAATGTTCATTAAATGGTGGACTAAGAGCTTGATAAGGGAGAAAGATTAAATCCCAATAAGTAGGTTCTCCAACAATCTGTTTTCACTTACCCAGTTTGGTCCACTGGACTTCAAAACATTTCACAAAATTCTGTTGGCATTTGTTTAATATTCTAAAAATACATGCATTAATTATAAAATATTATACATGTAAACACTATGAATCGGTACTTTTAGAAAAATTTTATCTCTTTTTTTTTAATAACATTCAAAAATAAAATCTTACCTCAAAGGTCTAATAATTGATTCTGCATCTGTGAAGCAGGATAAACCTATCATTTTAAGCTGCACAAGAAGTTCTGCTATATCTTCATAACGCACCCAAGGGACTTGATTTTTTAATTTGTTAATATCAATTCTTTTCCACTCAAAGCTAGTCTCTGTCAAATTATCAGTGGAATGAAGAAACTCATCCACCACCTGTGTAAAATTTAAAAAAGTTAATCTCACCTACAGTGCTGTACTTGTATAATGTGTAAATGAAACTGTGAGTGCTGATTCACAGTTATTATTTCCAGTGTGTACACTTTAAATTTTCAAAATATCCTCCCCCAATCTTGTTGTCTCAATGACAGAAGTGTCAATCCATATCCATACATGTTAACTCTACCGATTTAGGCGGGAGTCTACCGCTTTTTTACTCCATCTCCCGCCTACCGATTTTATGTGTAAATCTACCGCTTTTCTACAAAAATTTCGTCTAAAGTAATTTTGGTTCGCTTGGGTATCCATTTTTGAAGCCACTCGTCATGAAATCTCGTTAGATATCGCGTGATTTGACCCGGAATCATACAAAAGCTTTTTTTGTACCGATGTGTACATAGATTTCAAGCACGTATTTGACATTGACAACAGCACAAAATCAGTGATTACATTGGTTACGATAAATTTCGTGGACATTACGGCCATGAAAAAGGAGATACAGCATTTTAGAATTGGATGAAAACCATTGACATCGTCTATAAAAGCATAGGAGCTCGCAATTTAATCATTAAAGTCAATAGAAATCACTCGATTGACCAAGCCCTCATGAGGCACATCTCTACTTTCGTTTTCAATCATCGCGGGAAATCCAATTTATTTAACGAAAGATAGGGACTAGATTTAGATCTAGATTAAACTTTGTCATCATTTGTTGTGTTTAAGGGTGAAACGTTTACAGAATTTTGTAAACGTTTAAACGGATAGCAGTAAACGAAACGGTACCGTTTAAACGGGAAATATTCTATGTTGGATTTTTATGGCTACTCATTCATGTCGAATTTAATAATCAATTCTTTCACTTTAATATAAGTATGAGCTGTTATTACAAATTTATTGTTGGTCATTGTGATTTAACCGTAAGAATTTGAGGCGCATTAAATTCATTCACTTACGACCTCGTCACCCAACTGCTTGGTTTATTTGGTTACCGGACGTAGAAAAAATAATTGTAAAGATGGATCTTTTAATCTCGAAAAAAGTAAAACAGGACCTGCTGAATGTATTGAAACTTTTCAAAAAAAAATGTATTATATTTATTTAATCAAAATATATCAAGTTTTATATTTCAAGTGTCGTAAAACATCGCTAGTATTAGCAACTCGGAAATCGGAATTAATTATGTTAGCCCGTATCGGGTTGTAGATATTTTCATTCAATATGTTTCCGGTTTAGATTGTTGCTTATCAAATGGCCAAAGACGGTGTTTCTTTTGTAAATTATGAAATAAAACAATTTTTTTTGTGTTAAACTTTATTTCTGATAGACATTGATAATGACCTTCGTGTAAACGTTTACTCAAACTGTAAACGTTTAGAGCATATAATCGAAACGTCGCCGTTTACACGTGTAATCGTTTCGCCCTTAGTTGTGTTTGACAACTGAATGAACATTCAGAATTATTGCTTCTTGGCTATATAAGCAAAGACCACTATTCAAAAGGCCAAGTTAAGTAGCCAATCATAGCAAAATGATGAACATAAACAATATTTGAATAAGTATAATTTATGTCAAACTTAATGTGTTTCTGTCTATTTCTTTGCAATAGATATTTAAGATTAATGATTGTATTTTCATGTAAAACCATACATGTATATTACATGCAATATATCTTCATAAATCCAAGCGTAAATCAACGCGCGCAATGCTACCGCTTTCGTGGTCGGAATCTCCCTATTTTTCATCACAATAGGTTAACATGTATGCCATATCAAAACATTGAATTTCCAAAGATTTTTGCACCAAATGAATTTAAGATTAACTTCATTTTTTTTTTTTATTTCAAAAGAAAATTATGTTCTACGTACCTTTTTGTTTGGAAAAGAATGATTCTTTATGGCTTTTTGGTAACATCTCAGTTCTAATCTATGCTTTTCCTTCTCGTGAAATACTCCTCCACAGGAACATTTGACTTTTGAACTTTGATCACATGATATTTTCAAATTACAGTCAGTGCATCCCTCCTTCTCATGCTGGTTCTTTGTTCCTGCAATAGAAAGAGGTCTTTTCAATTTGTCTTTATACAACAGAAAGATGTCTTTAGAATGAATCTTCTTTACTTCATATTGTATTTCAGTAATCCCTGCTCTATCAGTAAACTATGCAAAGTCGTTTACATGAAAAAAGTACATGCTACTGTAGCTATTGAAAAGGTTAGCCTCTTAAAACAGTAAAATGCTGTCTTTGTCAATGTAAGCATAATAGTTGCAACTTTGAAGAACAAGAGGCCAATGGGCCACATCGCTCACCTGAATATCTTTGACCATGCTGTTCTTTACCAGATTTCCCCCTTACAATACCTTGAGTGACTCAACCCTACCCCAGGGGTCAAAACTTGGACAATTTAAAATCTACACTATCCCGCAATGCTTTTGCATAACTTTCAGCTTTTCTGGCCCAGTAGTTCCTGAGAAGAAGATTTTTCAAGATATATTTCAATGTAAAACTTGGGTCTCCTGTTGTGGCCACACCCTACTCCGGGGTCATGATTTGAACAATTTAGAATCTATACTACCCCAGGATGCTTCCACATAACTTTCAGCTTTTCTGGCCCAGTGGTTCTTGAGAAGAAGATTTTTAAAGTTTTTTCCTATATAGTTCAATGTTAAACTTTTGATTCCCTGTTGTGGCCCCGCCCAAGCTCTGGGGTCATGATTTGAAGAATTTAGAATCAAGACTACGCCAGGATGCCTCCACATAAGTTTCAGCTTTTCTGGCCCTGTGGTTCTTGAGAAGAAGATTTTTTAATGACCCCTTCCTATTTTTGTCTTTTCTTTATTATCTCCCTTTGTGCTGACATTGTTTACAATGGGCCTCTAACCTTTGTGTTGACATTGTTTACAATGGGCCTCTAACCTTTGTGTTGACATTGTTTACAATGGGCCTTTATCCTTTGTGTTGACATTGTTTACAATGGGCCTCTAACCTTTATGTTGACATTGTTTACAATGGGCCTCTAACCTTTGTGTTGACATTGTTTACAATGGGCCTTTATCCTTTATGTTTACATTGTTTACAATGGGCCTCTAATCTTTGTGTTGACATTGTTTACAATGGACCTCTAACCTTTGTGTTGACATTGTTTACAATGGGCCTTTATCCTTTGTGTTGACATTGCTTACAATGGGCCTCTGACCTTTGTGTTGACATTGTTTCAGATGGGCCTCTATCATTTAGGTAGACATTGTTTACAATGGGCCTCTATCCTTTGTGTTGACATTGTTTACAATGGGCCTCTAACCTATATGTAGACATTGTTTACAATGGACCTCTATCCTTTGTGTTGACATTGTTTACAATGGACCTCTAACCTATGTGTAGACAATGCTTACAATGGGCCTCCATCCTTTGTGTTGACATTGTTTACCATCATTTACAATGGGCATGTAACCTTTGTGTAGACATTGTTTACAATGGGCCTCTGTCCTTTATGTTGACATATATTGTTTACAGTGGGCCTCTTACATTTGTGTTGATATTGTTTACAATGGGCCTCTATCCTTTGTGTTGACATTGTTTACCATTGTTTACAATGGGCCTCTGACCTTTATGTAGACATTGTTTACAATGTGCTTAACCTTTGTGTTTACATTGCTTTCAATGGGCCACTATTCTTTGTGTTGACATTGTTAACAATTGGCCTCTGTCCTTTGTGTTGACATTGTTTACAACGGGCCTCTAACCTATATGTAGACATTCTTTACAATGGGCCTCTAACCTTTATGTTGACATTGTTTACAATGGGCCTCTAACCTTTATGTTGACATTGTTTACAATGGGCCTTTATCCTTTATGTTTACATTGTTTACAATGGGCCTCTAACCTTTATGTTGACATTGTTTACAATGGGCCTCTAACCTTTATGTTTACATTGTTTACAATGGGCCTCTAACCTTTATGTAGACATTGTTAACAATGGGCCTCTGACCTTTGTGTTGACATTGTTTACTTTGGGCATCTAACCTTTGTGTTGACATTGTTTACAATGGGTCTCTAACCTTTTTATTGACATATATTAGTGTTGGGGACAGTGGGCCTCGATTATCGGTAATAATCGGCTGTAATCGATTAATAATCGATTATAATCGAAATTTTGAACTTTAATGAAATTAATGTAGAACAGTTTACACTTATTCAGATTTTTGTCAGACTTTTACAAAAAAAAAATCATTTACTCACATAAACATGATAAAATACTCAACAATGTTAATTAAAATTTCTTATTTAAAAAGTGGAAAAAAAAAATATTTTGTTTACTTTAATCAATATAGGAATATTGAAACAGAATAGGAATTTATTTTTTTAATAAAGTCCATGCAATGGATATTTTACTGATATTAGTCCCACCTTTCATTTAATACAGGTATTTATTTCTTAAAATTGCAAGTTTTAAAAGTAGTTATCCAGAAGTGAGACTTGTTCTTCTGATTATAATTATGTTTAAAGATTGACTAGACTAATTATGTTTTTCTTTGTATAGTAAACCCTTGCAATATCACCGTTTCCTCATTTTATGTAACCCCATTTTTAATCATGGTGGTAAAAGTGTCAACAAGACACGGAATCCTTCCATGTTTTCAACATTCATCACTATTTTTATGCTCTTTGCACTTGGATTTGGTAATAAAATTAAAGTATGACAATTTTATTTTTTGTTAGCGATGTCGGCGACATTTATTTAATAATCGATTAGTAGCATCGAAGAGCTTCTAACGACCGACAATCGATCGTCGGCGACAATCGTTCCATCACTAACATATATTGTTTACAATGGGCCTCTAACCTTTGTGTTGACATTTTTTACAATGGGTCTCTAACCTTTGTGTTGACATTGTTTACAATGGGCCTCTATCCTTTATGTTGACATACATGTATATTGTTTACTTTGGGCCTCTTACCTTTGTGTTGACATTGTTTACAATGGGCCTCTAACCTTTTTATTGACATATATTGTTTACATTGGGCCTCTTACCTTTGTGTTGAAATTGTTTACAATGGGCCTCTAACCTTTTTATTGACATATATTGTTTACTTTGGGCCTCTAGACTTTGTGTTGACATTGTTTACACTGGGCCTCTAACCTTTTTATTGACATATATTTTTTACTTTGGGCCTCTAACCTTTGTGTTGACATTGTTTACAATGGGCCTCTAACCTTTATTGTTTACAATGGGCCTTTATCCTTTATGTTTACATTATTTACAATGGGCCTCTAACCTTTATGTTGACATTGTTTACAATGGGCCTCTCTTTTCTCTGTTGATGTTGACAGTCTTTCCAGTTCTTTATTTGTTCTCCAGCCTGTTATCCTGTGGGAAGAATATGTATGCAATTTAAAATGTTTCATTTACTGTAAATGTATTATATTTAGTGTGTACAATATTTGGCGGAAATTTATTTTAGAACAAGTTAGTGTAGATTTGATTTCGAGCATTTCTTAATGTTCTTATTAATGTATATATATGCTTAACACTTTTAGCATTGAACTTGAATTAGCGGAAGTTTCTTTCTGCCAAAAAGTGAAAGAAAACTCTGCCAAATGTAATACGTTTACAGTATGTCATTTTCTTCTCATTATAACATACATGTTTTTTATCAGATCTCTTCCAAATATTTTCTTCACACTATATACTGTGAAATCAATAATTTTCAAGGGAGTTTAATTTTTTCTGGTTTTGAGGTATGAAGAGAGCCACAATTTCCCATCCATCACGAAATGTAAAATGTTACATACATTATTTGAACTACTCAACAATCCTTCATCATGAAATCAAATCCCCATCGACCAAAAGTTTTTGCTCAAACCACAAAAATTTCACCCCACAAAAATATGTGATTTTACAATCTTTAATTAAAGTCTTCTCTAGATATTTTCTTCACACTACACATTAAATCAGAATTATTCCCATCAAACTTCCTTCACAGACACTTGTTTATTGGGTTAGAGTCTTGCCTGTACCTTGTTAATGGATCTTGCTGGTTGCATGCCATTTCTCTAAACAATTCCTGAGCTTTCTCTATTCCAATATCTCTCAGTCCTTTGTCATAGTCAAAACCAACTAGCATTGCCATAGCAACCAAGGTCTCCCTTGTCAGCTCAAGTTTATTTTCAGTATCTCTAATGTCATAGACATCAACTAAATATTCATGCTATAAAAAAAGAACATAATTGAAAAAGAAATACCTTGTACATGCATCTGCACCTATTGATAAAAATATTATTGGGACCATTTTAATTTTTTGTTAAGGAATTAAACTGGGTACTACATGTATTGAGTTTATAATTTTTCTTGCTGTTCATCACAATAAATAATGCTTTAAATCTTACCTTGTTTAATGCATGTAAATTTTTGTATACAACTTTGCCTCCATAAAGAAAGGCATCTGCATCTTCAGTGAGGATACCATCAACTTTCTGAAAAAATATATACAAGGTCCATAAGCTAGATTTACTGAGACACTAAGTTTTAAATAAATCACACATGTATATGCATTACCTACATGTGTGCTAGTAGATTTGAGTGAACTTATATTTGAAGAGACGTACATCAATTTACCGATTCAATTTTTCTTAAATTCATTATTTGCAATTATAACAGTTTGAAACAAGGGAAAATGTACTTTTTTAATTGCAAGTAGATGAAGGAAACAGATTAGTTCAAGTTGTTATATATTGTTTTTGAATCCTGCGAACTAAATTTAATGTATATCATGATGATATATCCAATTAAAATAAAGTTTGAACATATGTCTTAAATGAAGCAAAATGAAGACTTTTGTCCAGCTTACCCCAGTGTTGTTTAACCAGGCACAGTAGGCCTCGGCTTCTCCTGGTGCCTGAACACAAGGCAACCCAAGGCACTCTAACACAGCAAAACACTGTCAAATACACAAAGTAGACTACTGAGATTTATATATGGGTTAATCATTGTTAATAGACTTTTCTCTTCATACTTCTTACAATTAAGATATTCAAAATATGAGAGCAATCAGAGACATGCAATTACCTCAACCAAGAATTACCCCCCCCCCCCCCCCCCCCCCCAACACCGCTGCCTCCATCCCACCCACCACCAAATACACATATAAACCTATAAACCTGACTTACTGGCAGAAGGTATGTGTTCATTTATCATAGAACAGAATAAACTTATTAGCATACAGTGCATGTTTATATTTGGCTATTCTTTCCCCTTTTCCTACTTGTACCTTTTCAGTGATTGAATTAAACCACTGTCTGTGTGGCTTGCTGGATGCAAATCCATCTTTATTGCGAGCCAATATTGTGTCTCTCTTACATTCAGGGGCTACTCCATCAGCAATAAATACCAGTTTTACTCCGGCCTTCATCAGCCTAGTTGTTCTCTGGTACAATGTCCTAAAAATACAAGTGAATCCACACAATCTCAATTACAACAGGCCACAGAGATGGGAATTCTGTGACTGGACCAAACAAACCAGAGATACAGAGTACAGAAGTCATAAAGAGAGATGAGGGTTTATTTGGTTAGATCTGACATACCCAAGATATTACAGGTGACAGAGATCTTTGATTAGATCTCACAAACCTGAGACAAAACAGGTAAAAGAGATCTTTGATTAGATCTGACAAAACTGAGATTTTGATTTGATCTGATTTACCTAAGATCTTGATTTTTAATTAGGTCTGACATACCTGAGATTTTGATTGGATCTGATTTACCTGAGATATGATTTGGTGTACCTGAGATATAGGTGAGGAACGGTCTGATTACTTCTGAATTCCACGATCCACCCACTGAGGTCTACTGCCAGGGTTTTTCCTGCCAAAGATTTCACAGGGACAGACTTCTGTGCCACGGGGGACAAGACCTTCCACAGATCCTTCACACCCATCTCAATTGTGAAGCTGAAAGAAATACCATATTTAGAACAGTTTTATAAATGTCTGTGTTTGTTTATCATAATTAATTAATGTTGCAGCTTTTGCAGAAAAAAAATACACAACCTGCTTACTATTGGGGTTTTTTTTTTCAGAAACAGCTGCAACATTAATTCCTATATATTAACAAACAAATTAAGCTAGCTGTATTGATGGATGTATTGATTGAGGGATGTAAACAGACACCCCAATTACTCTATTGAATATATTTTATTATTCCAAATCAGGGCCGTTTTGGACATATTACATGCATGATTATTAAATAGAACATATAATAATTATTTACAAAATGCGATATAATAGTATGACATCCCCAGATCATATATACAACTTGAAGACTAGATTTGCTCCTGGTTCAATTGATCATAACTTTTCTAATTCATATTTTTTAATCTGTATGCAAACTGAGCTCACAAACATTATGTTGTCAGTGAATTTCTTTAAAAAGTATTAAAGGTTATTCAGCTCATGAACTGCTGGATTAGCAGGTCCAGTACAATCTCTTGATTTAGCTATATAGCTTTAAAAAGCTATATAGCTTTATCTTTCAAAATAGCTTTATTTAGCATTTATATACAGCAAAATCAGTAAATTGTTATGTATTTGTCTTCAACATATATGGCAAAAACAATTAGTCCTTTGACTTTCAACTTTGTTCATTTGTAACCAGTGCCTACAAGGGTTACATTCTCTATTGTACAAGTAGCAATCTTTTTTGTTTAATTCTCATTTATTTCATTGCAGTTATCAATGGTTACAAAGGATACTGTGGTTTGAAATGGGTTACAATGGTTACAACAGTTACAAAAAAAATTGTGTTGAATTATTAGATTTATGGAACCTTTGTTACTGAAATAATTAGTCCTGTAACAGGGTTACAAATGAACATAGTTGAAAGTAGGACTAATTTCTTGCCATATCTACTTGGAATATATTGGTTTTGAAAATACATTTACTTGTAAATGGATTCAATAAGATGTAAATGAGCCTATATCACTAATTAAAAAACTAAATCAAAAATCTACATTCCAAAACTATCTTATTGCCTGTATTCATTAACCATTATGCATGAACATACATGTGCAAACAAGTACATGGTAGCATGTAGTGATCGTATGTACATGTACACCTACATGAGAGTTTATATGTACATGAAGGCCCAATTTTAGTTTATACCTTCTTTTGACCACGAGCTTATATGACTGTTTTCACAAAAACACTTACTAAAATCTGCGCTCTTGTTTGAATTTTGATGTACCAGGAAGATAAAACTAGGCCTTGCTCCAGTTCGGGAAAAATTGTTTACTCCTTTTCGGAATACTTCCTTGATATGACGGGATATGTCGAACCTAGATGTATTCCGAGTGTTCAAAAAAAAATGGCGGACAACAGATTGGACACGCAAATCGAGAAGTTGACACAAGCGATTAAATTAACACAAAAACTCAGGGCCAGCGTCTCTAAAGTATTTACAGACCTTTCTGATGGCTTTCAAGCACCGACAGGAGACGAGAAAGCGCTGCTAAATAAGCTTCAGAAGTCTCTCACAGCTGTAAATGACAATCTGGGGTAATGTTTACATTTTGAATTTCCTCGGCCTAATTTATTCGAAAAAAAAAAAAACTTATCACATAATAATAAGACATTAATCTTAAAGATAGACAATATGTGTAGTTAAATAATATAAAACACATGCACTTGAGGCGTGGATACCCTCTCCCATGTAATAAAAAAAATAACTTACAATGTTTATAGATCCTTTAGTTAAAAAGAGACATATTATATGTCTCTGGTTAAAATTCTCAAAAAATTAGACTCCTTTAACTTTAACTACATTGTGTATTCTTGCCACAATCCAATACAAATGTTAATTTAATTGGTAAAGAAACTATATACATGATGATGCAGGTCACTGTTGGTATCTTAGTTTGCAGAGTAAGTTGTTCAGAGCTGGAGGTTCTGAACAGATCTTCTATTTCAGCATTGATATGGTAAGAATATCAGATAGTGACTTTTTCTAGTTCCTTGGACTGTTTGTTCGACCAGTAGATGACCAATTGTTTTCACCACCAACCATCAGCTAGTGTTGTCAAATCGGTTGAAACTCAGAATCGATTAATCGGTAACATCGGTTGACCCAATTCACCCAAACCGATTGATCATCGGCCAATAATCGAATCGGTAACCCTTTGCATAAAATAGGCATTAGATTTTTTATAAAAATTAGAATTTTATTGTTAAATAATGTAAGTAAAGGTGCATTGCATAGATCAAAATTCTAAAAACAGTATATACATACATGTTAACTCTACCGATTTAGGCGGGAGTCTACCGCTTTTTCATTCCATCTCCCGCCTACCGATTTTATTCGTAAATCTACCGCTTTTCTACAAAAGTTTTGTCAAAAGTATTTTTGGTTCGCTTGGGTATCCATTTTTGAAGCCACTCCTCATAAAATCTCGTTAGATATCGCGTTATTTGACCCGGAAGCATACAAACGCTTTTTTTGTACCGTTATATACATAAATTTCAAAGCATGTATTTGACAATGACAACAGCACAAGATTACAAATGATTACATTGGTTACGATAAATTTCGTCAACACTATGCCATAAAAAAAGAGATAAAACATTTTAGAATTGGATGAAAACGTTTGACATCGTCTACAAAAGCACAGGAGCTCACAATTTTATCAATAAAGTCAATAGAATCACTCTATTGACTAAGCCATGAGGCACATCTCTACTTTCGTTTTCGATCATCCGATCGCGGGAAATCTGATTTAATTAACGAAAGATAGAAACTAGATTTATATCTAGATTAAACCATGTCATCATTTGTTGTGTTTTACAACTGAATGAACATTCAGAATTATTGCTTCTAGGCTATATCAGAATACACAGCCAATCAAAGCAAAATGATGAGCTTGAAAAATATTTGAAGGTGTTTTTGTCTACTTCTTTGCAATTAATTATTGTAGTTTTTATTTAAGGCCATACATGCATTATATATTACATGAAATATATATATTATCGTTATAAATCCTAGCGTAAAACAACGCGCGCGCAATGCTACCGCTTTTGACGTCTGAATCTCCCTATTTTTCATCACAGTAGGTTAACATGTATGGTATATATGCAGTTTGATTAACGATTTCAGTAATACAGATTTTTGCATGATTAGGAATTACTTGGCCTGGGAAAAGTAAGCATTGACAGATCAGGTTTTAATTTACATGATCATCTAAAATGTATATGGAATTAATTTTTTAAACTGTTATAAGACATTTAATATTGCAAATTCCTTGTGATTCTGTATGAAATGACAGGTGAATTCCCCCAAATACTGAAAATTAATATATTTTATTATATAGTCTATTTATATTCCCTATATAATTTATACAAGTGCAAACAGTTCATAACACTATATATTCACTGGATTTGAGGCCATATCCACCGGAGGGTCACTGCGCGTGCAGCAGCATTGTGACGTGACAATCAAAACCTCAAACAACGTTGTAAACAGTGGTTGCAAAGGCCATAGCGAGCTACGTATCTTAGCAGGAAAAATATTATAAAAACCAATTGCAGGATTATTTTTACATTTGGACGTTTTACACAGCAAAACTCGGAAAGGAAAACATGGAGTTTATGTTGACAAACTGTAATCTGGACATTTTTTTTTCAACGACAGAGGTTCGTTAATGAAAATGGTGTCGTCATTCAGCCCTCAATGTCTTATTATTTATTCAAATTTGGACTATATAATAAAACAGTTATGGACTCTTTTGGTGTTGAATATGGTTTGTTATTCACCAGAAAAATATCCATATTGACCTCGGTTTCGCCTCGGTCAATATGAATATTTTTCTGGTGAATAACAAACCATTTTCAACACCAAAAGAGTCCATAATTGTATATTATTTAAACAAGTAGTTTAGTTTCTTCAGTTAAGAAATACAAATATCATTATCTTTTGATTTACTTTAAACAGATTTTAAGTACATGTATTCTAAAATAGTAAAGGACAACTCTTGAAAGATATATATTTTGATAACAAGAGCCTGTTCTTGAAATAAAAGTGAGAAAAATGTAAAAAAAAAAAAAAAGATATGTGCTGAAATATACCGATTGTTAAAATCTCCAATCGATTGTCTAAAATCGACAGCCTTTCCGACCGATCATCGATTATAAATCGATCATTGTGACAACACCTCCATCAGCATTCTAAATTTTAAGCTGTTCCCTTTTTAACGCAAGCATATGTTTTTTTAATGCATTTGAGAGTCATCAATCTTAATATTACATATGTATTACATATTTTTTTACTACCGAAAATTTCGGTAAAATTGAAAGGTACACGCACTCCTGTGATTTTATTCTGTTTTTTTCCAACTTGTTTCAAAAATCATTTAACATTGTTTTTTTTTTTCAGAGATTTGGAAAAGTTGGCCCCCAATATTCACAGCACAACAAACATCCCTCCACTATTACTGAACAGCACTGGTCTCCTGGGGCTGGACCCCGCCACAGATAAATCAGGCATCGCTACCCAGCTACATCACACTCACAAATGGACCAACAAGGTGAGACTTGGGTCTGCTGTGTTCGGCAACAATTGCAAAGTCATGGGGCACATGACACCCTTAAAATTAATGTCTGATATTAAGGTAGGTGAGCAAGGAACATTTTAGGCACTACAAAACAACAGTGAAATTTACATTCTTTATTAAAATCTTACAAATGTTTCTATAAAAAGTTATTATAACTTGTCTCAATGGTTTTTTTCTTTGTTAATTTATGATGTGCATGATTTAGTTTCCTAGATATTCATGATTTTTTTTTCTATTTATTAGGTACACAAACTTGGGGATTACTCAGCACAATTTTTAGGAACCAATCAGCTAAAGAGAACAAATCAGGGTCCTGCGGGCCAGTCCAAGCGTATGAGGCGACCAGAGCCCACCATACACCGCGTACCGGAAAACATGTAAGTACAACAACCAGAGCCCACCATACACCGCGCACCGGAAAACGTTCAAGTACAACAACCAGAGCCCACCATTCACGGTGTACCGGAAAACATGTAAGTACACCGAGGCCGATATGAGGGATTTAGCTTCCAATACCATAATGTGACCCATTATTAAAGGAATAAATATCATCCCATTTTTAGTTCACCTGAGCCAAACGCTAAATTAAGCTCTGTTTGGTGTTTGCTGTTCTCATCATTGTTGTAAACTTGTTATAATTTCATCTTTATCTCCAGAACCAATGTTTTTAACCAAACATGACCAAGAGTAACATTGGGTGAAGGGAATTCATATTTGTTCGAAAGAACGGATACATCCTTTTTTAAGAGGAGATAATTAAGAAAAACAAATTTGATTGGTGTCATTTAAAAATCTTTTTAAGAACTGCAAGGACAGGAAGGATCTAAGCTTTTTGATATCGAAGGTAGAGTTGGGCCACTTTGGGCAGTCAAAGCTTTTCAAAGATATACATAGAAAATCTTTTATTAAACTCTTTTCTTCACAAACCGCAAAATCATAATTTTCGTAATTGACCCCTATGACAGGGTGAAGCTACAATGGGGAATCAAACATACATAGGAATATGTAGGAAAAAGAAACTTTTGATAAAGAAAAAATGGCCATAGTAACTCAGGGGAGCACTGTGGCCCTTGGACTTTTGTTTTATTCCCAAATTTGATTATGATAATGTACAAATGATTTGATTGCAGAAATATCCAGCAATTGGTTACAACAGTCGACAGGAGCTATCCAGACATGTCTGTATCACTGATTAGACCCATGGGAAATAGTACAGTCCTACAGGTAGGTATCAAGTCTGTATCACTGATTAGACCCATGGGAAATAGTACAGTCCTACAGGTAGGGAAATAGTCTGTATCACTGATTAGACCCATGGGAAATAGTACAGTCCTACAGGTAGATATCAAGTCTGTATCACGGATTAGACCCATGGGAAATAGTACAGTTGTACAGGTAGGGAAATAGTACAGTCCTACAGGTAGGTATCAAGTCTGTATCACTGATTAGACCAATGTCAAAAAGAACTGTTCTACATTGATAAAATTTTCTTTGGACACTAGTTTGACTCTGTGATTGACCATTAATTACATTTATTTATCCATAGATGAACATTGAATTATTACACGTTGCAGAATGCATTGTGTCATTAATTGTGAAATATATTAAACTAATTAACATGTATAATGTCTAATTAACTTTTGATGTATGTTTAACATAAAAGTTTTATTCAAAAGTTGAACTTGTTAAATTCATTTTATTTAAAACCAAATCAAGATGTCCAAAAACCAATACCTGATTTTAAATGCTTGTAGATAACCCTGGCCAAGACATTGAAGGCAGTGATAGTGTTGAGGGGACTTTTGATAGAGTACGTATCTATCAAGGCCTATAATGAGGACTTCTTAACGGACGATGGGCGGGTGAGTACGGGACTGTATCATCTAATAAAAGGGGATGATGTAATTCAACATTAGTACAAGTAATTCATCCAGTAAGTTTAGTTTACATTTATGAGTTTGTAAAACTGAGTGGGAGAAAACTAACCTATTGTGCTTAAAATGCCGCAGAATATAAAGCAACCTTTGCAAAAGCATGTCTTCATAGAGGGATTGTACAATAGATCAATAACTTCTTATTTAATATAGAGTGAATTAAGTGTATGATGTGAAATAGACTTCTAACACACATTATATAAATTTCAGTTTAATATTTAATGTGTGAAGCACCGGTCCGTAAGGACAAAACAGGTGAAAATCACCATGATATATTATGCCATGTGAACTCATGGATCATAAATAAAATGTAGATAACCATTGAACTGTAGGTTTGTTTTGGTCGGGTTTTAAATTATATAGTTCTATTTCATCATATAGATGCTTTAATTAATAACAAAACACATTATTAAAAACGTTAAGTGGACTGTGATTGTTTTAAAACCTACTTTATAGCCACAATATCTTAAAATATTTCGATGGAACAGTACCAGGATAAGAAAAAGAAACATTTCAGTTTAATCTTTTAATGTGTTATCTGTTTTTGATTTACCGGGTATATGCTATGAAGTAACATCGTCATGATCATTATATGATAAAAGTTTTGGACCGGTGAAATATTCGTTTATATAACTGTGAGATTGTGTTAACTGTCTGTCCGAATGTCCTGTGGCGAGTTTTCTTTTTTGCGAAGACCGAGTATGATTTCTGTGTTGATACCGTTTTATAGTTACTTATTTAATTTTTATTTCCTTTACCTTTAGCCTGATATATGGTCCAAATCCAGATATCAAGTTTTCAATAAGGTAAGTTTGTGTAAATTTTGGTTAAAGTTCAGTTGAAGTAAATGTACATCATTATACATTATTTTTATAGAGGTACAAAAAAAAATAACCAAATATTTCTGATTTATGTAACAGGTGACAGATTTAGTAACTGCAGCCACCATACATTTCTGCCATCCCCAACTCCCAGATGTCAAGCAGGCAAACTGTTGGCATGAATGTAATGTACAAATAAAAACTTTTTAAACATTCCTTAATTTGATTTTTAAAATGGGACTGTATCTTTCATTTTAATTCTTAAATTCTTTAGTCCTAGCTGTTTTACTGTTTCACTATCCTAGTGTAACAAACATTTGTTTGTCTTTCCATCATTCCAACTCTTTTCTTGAGTGAAGAGGAGTTATACACCTTTAGTATAGTATTGAATGATAATTCCATAATGACAATGTCAGGTCTGACAATATTTAATGGAAGTTGCTTGTAACACATGCCTGTATGATATTGACCTATTGCTATCAGTTTTATCAGTCGGTGTTTGTCATTCATCGTGCATTAACATTTGAACATTTTCAGCGTCTTCTCTGAAACCGCTTGACCAATTTCAACCAATTTTGACATATAGCATCTATGGTTAGAGGCAGTGTTAGAAACTCTCTGTAAAATTAGCTAGACATGCAGGGCTGATTGCAAGTGGAAGATGTCAGCCCTGTCAAAAATGTACTAGCCCGAAAAAAAGCAATTGTCTTTCAAAATGTTACAGTATTGTAAATTGGGCCAGCTCACTATATATTGGATTACTTGATATCGCGATTACTAAACTTAGCGAAACTCTTTCGCGATGGAGATAAGAAACGTCTTTTGGATGGGGCAAATGTGCTATTGAATACAATGCAAGATCGATCATTGTAGAATTTATTAGGACAGAAAAGTAAAAAAATCCTAATGGAATACCTTGCTTAACAATTAATCGCTGAACCAGCCTTATAAATTTTTGATTTTTGACAGGAGCTATTCCTAAAATGTGACATTTTTAATGATATTTTAACTAATCTGGCTCTTCTTGCTAAATATTCATTGAAAATTGACACATTGTATATTGTAAAGCTGAAATTTTTTTTTCCAAACTTTCCTTATTAGACAATCTACTATTTGGAGGTAAATTCTTGGCAATACATTGTACTTTCAGCGTAAAACTGTTCGAATCATTCGATTGTCACTCCTGTAAACAATGCCATGTGCACCAGTAATCGCACGAGGTTAAGAGCTTTCTTGACTCCCCCTCAAAAGAGCGGTAGTATGTTAAATAACTGAGAGGTACTCACAATATTACGATATTACTGCTTGTAACTCTTTGAAGCCAGTGATATTAGTTGATCTTAGAGAGGTTTATCAAATATCTAAATTTTAATTTATATTGAAAATATACACGTCCAGCCGGGCGTCTATACATGGAAATTTGTCCGTCTGTGACAAAATTTATGCGTCTCGGGCGGTCGGGCGCATGGTTATTTCAAACACTGTTAGAGGGGAACAAAAATTGTGAATTTCATGGTCCCTGCCCCCCTGGGGCCTGGAGGTGGGGCCAAAACCATTAAAATGAATGCAATCTTTAAAATCTTCTTCTTTAGTCCTTGACATGAAGCAGTCAAACTGTTGGTATAATTGTAATCGGCATTGAGTCCTCTACCAAAATTGTGAAATTCATGGTCCCTGGGTCAGGGGTTCTAGTGCTAGGATGGGGCTAAATAGATTATATAGTGAAAATGCATTATTTCTTTGAAATTCTTCTTCTCTGCTCCTTGGTATTAAATAAAATAACCAAGTGCATAGTTATGTTGAATAAGGCTGCCTTTTTTTTTTTAAATTGTGAATTTCATGAACAGTAAAATGATACATGTACAAATAAAATATCAATGGCATTGCTATTTCTTGCAGTGAAAAATTTGTGGTGCTTCACTCGCTGAAGTTTAACACCTATTATACATGTCTTTTATATTTGTATATTATGCAATTACAACCCCATATTAACGAAAGAATATTTGCACACAATGTCCCCAAAAAAAAGAACAATTTCAATAGTCAGGTAATTTATGAAATATATTAAAAGTTTGTTCATTCCTAGAACATCCCTTGTACATGTATATGCTGTCATATTAAATAAGTTGCCCACATTTGGTTCCTTTGCTTTCAGATTTGGTTAAATAATTACAAGACCTTATTCTCAGCGCCATGTTCTAAGTGTGGTAAATATCTCCAGGGATTCCTACCCCCAATATGGAGGGACACACGCTCCTCCCAGCCTCTGCACGATGGATGTCGTCAGTGATATCAGGACCCCTCAGCGGGGGGATATCTCAAGATATCTACAGAACCTCTTAACTCTGGGATGATATCAGGAGATATCTGCATCATTCCTCATGAGGAAACCCAAGATATCTTCTGAAAAAATCCTAAAGGAGTCTATTGTGCTGCAGAAATCTGAGAATGTTTAGTCAGTTGTGGGAAAGTATAAATAACAGAAATGGAATAATGTCCCTAATGAGTGACTACTTCTTGCATTTATGACAACTTTTAGTGCCACAGCAAATGTTACAATCTGCACATTGTGACTGTATTATGCAATGTCAGGGTCATACATGTATAAACTTAGTATACATTAACATTATGTATATATATATGTTTTCTTTCTCAGTGTTGCAACCATTATCACCTCTCTTCAAAACAAAAACTAAAAACCAGATGGGGGAACAAGGCCTTTAGCTTTAAATATTAAGAAATCTTGTTCAGTTTGTGAATTGAGTATTCATATTAAGTTCTCATTATTGAAATTTATGAAATGATGAGAAGCAAACCTTTTCTGAGAGAAAAAAATCTCGATAAAAATTATTTTCTATAACTATTACTTCATTTTCTTGTTACAAGAACTATGTAAGATTAGATTAGGAAAAAGTAAGTAATTTGCAAATAGTTATTTTAAAAATCCTAAAAGTTTGAAGCTTTCAACCCACCCACCCTCTTTTGCCCTTAACCTTTTGGAGCCCTAGGGTGTTTACCAGCCTAATGCCTATTAAGCTCACTTTAGCTTTCAACTCAGGTGAGCACTGCCCATCCATCTGTAAAATTTTCACATTCAGCTTCTTCTCAAGAGCCACTAAGCCAATTTTAAGGAGAGTTGGTACAAAGCATCCTTGGGTGACAATGAGTTTGAATTATTAAAATGAAGGGCCAAACTCTTTAGGAAGGAAAGAGATAATGAAGAAATGTTTAAAAAAAAAAGAGTTGGATCTTTAAAAATATCTCAAAAACCACTAAACCCAGAAAAACTGAAACTTAAGTGGAAGCCTCCTGCAGTAGTGTAGATTTTTATGTTCAAAACATGATTCCCTTGGGAGGGGGGGGGGAGGGGGCAATAGAGAATCCAAGCTTTAAATTTTATCCTGGGGTAGTGTAGATTCTAAATTGTTCAAATTCATGACCCCAGGGTAGGTTGTGGGGAATCTAATTTTTACATTGAAATATAAGGAGAAAAAGTTTAAACTCTCCTTTCAAAAACCACTTGGCCACAAAATTAAATTAAATATGAATTTTTGGAGTTATCCTTCCTGGCTGAGGATCGGACAACCTTAAAGCTTTCTGATATAATGTAGATTCTAAATTGTTCACATGACACTGGGTGTAGGTCGGTGCCATAATAAGTATTATCTAAAAGAATTACTGGGTGAGATCTTGTTCTTGGATCCTCCATTTGAAATTCATTTGTTAAAAAAAACACAGTCACTGTGGAAAAATTAAAAAGAATAGCCAAATTCAATCCATAGGAGTTTCCATGTTTGTAATGAAAGTCCTGGTGTTAAAACGCTATTTAGAGTATTTAATCGAAGTCTAATCTGTACAGCTTCGTGACATTACGTACTTTACTTATTAATGCAATATGTACACTCCTTACGAGTGAAAATGTCTAATTAATGTCATAATATGAACCTGACACCGCGCCCAGGAATGAAATCACTTTCTAAAAGACATTTCATTTGTTTTGATTCATCCCATTCACAGATTTTTTTTCTGTTTTAAATACCTTACTGGTCATAAAGTAAGAAATGTCAAAATAATCGCCCGAGTTGTGGATGTTTTCATTTAAATTCGGTGCAAGTTTGTTCATGACAGGTGAATTAAAACCAGAGGGGGTATCAACCATGTAAAAATTATCTTGCAATCTTCCCGGGAAGGAAGGTAGTCAGTTTATACCTTTAACAATAAATTACACTGTCTCTAGACACCCTTCAATTGTTGCAATTTAAAACGCACAGATAATTGGATTTGAATTTTAAACCTCTGATTAAAAAAACTCGAGAAAATAAGCCACAAAGTAACTAAGTTACATTCATGAGACGAGAAATTCTCTAAGATTAATTTTTTTTCCTTATCGAGATATTGATCTCTTGTAAATAGGGCGATGTTTAACTTTTAAGGGGGGTTCCTCACTCCCATGTGTCTTTAAGTGGCGAGACGAGTGTCTTATTGTTGCCTAGAAACTTAATTGCTTCCAAATTGTCTAAGACCCAGAGCGATCGAAAAACCGTTTACTTAATAATTTTTAAATTTTTGAAGGACTGCGATAACATTAACATACCTTCAACACAACGGAGAAAAAGATACACAACTCATTCGAAATATATTTTTGTTGTGTGTGTTTAATCTCACTGATCACGTGTACCTTTGGTCAAGTGTCTTCAAACAAAACGAAGAGGACACGTTACCGAATTGGACGTAATACCAGGACTTTTTCAGCACCCTCTGGTGTTTGCCAAGGTGTAATAGAGTAAGCCCTTATGTCAATTTATAAATGAAGAAATAGACGGGATTTCTCGCCCGTCAGACAACAATACGGTAGCCATAACGTTCAATAAGCCCAAAGACAACTTCTTGACGTCTAGAATTAACGAGAAGAGATGTCGGATATAAAGTGTATGACAACGGAATCATCATAGGTAAACACTCTTATTGTTATATTTTCTAATTGAAATTACCAGTAAATTACTGATTTGATTAATAGAATGAACGGAAGTTTTACGATGTATTTGTACTGTAGATTGTTTCTGAAACTGTATTTTAGTCTCATAGTGAAGTACACATAAATGGATTAAAACATCCCTTTACTATGTTCTAATTATGTTCTAATTACTGTTACGTACGTAAGAAAAATCTTGTATTCCTTGTTTTGCGTTACGAAAGATGAACATGTGTATAGTTAGTATAGTAAATACGATAATGAATGTTACATCCAGATTTTGTTCTAAAATACGCAAACATCGGAAAATCTGGACCAGTTTGACGGGTGCTATATGAAAATTCAGAAATGGTAATGCTCTTAACGGGGTTTTATTGAATTAAAGGTAGTTTTAGCTTGATATCATAATGACACAAGTGTCAGGTTTTGCCAGGTGAAATAACGAAATTTAGAAGCTCAAGTCAATGGGTGTCAGGCCTGGGTGCTTCTTAGGGGACCTATCATACGGGATTATGCCGTTAATCCCGGGCGGGGATCCTCGATACTGACTTCCCTCGTGATCAACAGACACTTGGATAAATCAGGATAATTCTGTTTATTGTATATAATTTGCTGCTTTCAAAGTATTAACATGATAATGATATAGGCCTAGTGCAAAATTAAATACTATAGTATACAATGTATGCGTATAAAATTAAATACAGTTCATTCTTGTTATTTCGAACACAATGGTACCAGGAAAATATTCGAGATATCCAGGGTGGAAATATGCATCATTGAAATAAGTGATAGGGTTTCGATGCAAGAATATAGGTTTGCATTTTAAAAATATGAGTAGGTGAAGATCTTGGACGTAACATGATAATGACTTGTTTTTGCAAAGAGAAAATTTCTTTTGATTCATATACTTTCAAATCGTTTCGTGTGCCGGATATTGAAACATTGAATTTATAGGTCATTGAAAATTGTCGCACTTCAGTCATAGTGAAATAAATAAGATATATATTTGTATGAAATAAACATCGCTAATCTCCGACGTTTAGCTTTCTACTCCATGAAAAAGTTCAAGATTCAATTCAAAAGGGAATACATCAACTCGGAGAGGGTATCACGCTTCTTGACATGAAAACAAACAAATGTCCATTTGACATTATTGATACCCAAGGAGGCACATTGTACCTTTAAGTATTTGTTCTAAATTCTTTTACTCTGATTTACAATAGCAAAAATATTTATACCAAAGTACAAAATAAACAAAATGTAACTTGTTCCACGAAATAATACCCCGAACCCTCTCCGGTCGTCTTGGGATGTTGTTGTTACATTTTAGAGTAAAATGAAATGAATACTGGGTTTGAAATTAGGAAAAATATTATTTCAATCCAATCTTAGTTTACGACACTAATGAATAACGTCACTTTTGGGCTAAGCAGCTCAACATGGGTCAATATTTTGGTTGGGCTTTCAGGAGTCGTACATCACGACGCCCAATCAAATTGGGGATTTAAAATTTGTCATTTCGAAAGTAAAGCATAAAAGTCTTGATGTTTTCAAAATAGATATATTTTTGGAAAGAGTTGCTTTTTGGGTAAGTTGCCATTGCTTTATAATATTGAAATGGGTCAGGCACATTTAATGATCCCGTTTTTAACGGTTATTTATTCCTGCTGCCTCATTCAGTTTTATTTATTTTCTCTGCTTCTAAATTGATTGTACATGTATTTTTATTTTTTTGGCGTGTAAGTCAGTGATTTTTTTTTTGGGGGGGGGGTCGATTATTTAATCTTAATATTTATTAAAATGTTTCCATCATCTTTATCTCCTTTTCTTTTCTTGTATTTTAAATTTCAATGACAGGCAAACATCAGAATGCATTTGGGGGGGTGATTTTGCATATTTTGAGTTCTTTTTAGATTTTAACACAATTTTTTGACGTTTTGTAAATTGTATAAAATTTAAAATTTGACTGTAACTTTCTGAGTTGTGAGAAGATAACAAAAGGCTGTAGAACGAAGAGACTACATGCCGTAAAAGATGGAACGAAAATAACGAATTCCATTTTCCACAGCGAAATGCTGTAATTTATCCGTTGATATTTTTAACACATAATTTTTTAGCTGCAGAGCTGTAACTCTACGAAAAAAAAAATATATTGACAGACCGGAGAGGCACAGTGCCACCCATTGAAGAAAAACTATATTTATTGCGCATAAAAATTTGCGCTTGGTTCTGGATTAATTCTCCCAAATTCTTACCTCAGTTGCAAAAAAGCTAGATTTCAAAAAATTCCTTAGTTTTGAATCAAGTAATTTCGTAATTGACAACTGCACGAAGCGTGTTAGACTGAACTATCTTGCAAAAAAAATGACAGTATATAAATGGACAAAATTTTCTATCATCTCAATATCAGGGCCGGGGGGGGGGGGGGTATTAACAACAATTATAAGGAATGTTTTGTTTGTGGAATTAGTGAAAGAATATGTAAGGATCACACGGTTAGTAACATTTTAATGTGCCAATTTGAAAAAAAAAAACATGGAGAAATAAATCGAGAAACAGCGTACTTTTTTGTTCGCAATAAATATAGTTTTTTAATGGGTGGCACTGTAGCTCTCCGGTCTGTCAATATATTTCCTTTCGGAGAGCTACAGTTCTGTAGCTAATAATTTTTATGGCGGTGATAAAACAAAAAAAAAAAAAAAAAAAAAGAAAATGGACAGTACCTGACACTCGAAAGATTGTTATATATAAATGTTCGGTTAATTAAAATGGAATTCCCATAACAGCGTTAAATTATTGTTGCCAAAGATCCACTTGGGGGGGTCTTAATTCTTATGCATCTATATACAGTGTATTTACTGTTTAACTTCGCACTTAGAAAAAAAAAGTGTCCTTTTCATAATGAATCATTCTATCTCCAATTTTTTTAAGAAATCAAGTCGTTTGTTTTGATAACAATATACAGGTAGCATAATTTGAAATCACTTGATGTACACATTATAAATATTTTTTTTCTATGTGTCATATGTAGGTCCAATGAGGCGGATGCTGGCATTTCAATGATACAAATTTATTCAAAAGGCTGTTCACTTATAAAACACGTCATTTTAAAATAAAGTGCTTCATATTTCTCTATATGAAATCCATCTTTGCCATTGTCTTTTTAGGAAATTGGCTTTCACAATTATTTGAGTTAGATTTCAAAAAATGTAAACATTTTGAGCAGCTTTTTTTTTAAATAAAAGAATCTAAGTATCATGCACCAAGGACGATTGATTTTCTTGCTTTCGGACCTGTTCCCTGGAAGAAAGTGGGCCTTAATACGTCAACACTTGGAAATTCTGGAAATAATTACTGCTCATTATTTTTTATCTCGCCAAAGTGTGCAATAAAGGAAGACGATATAAATTATGAGCAGGAGGAACGAACTCAGTTATTGACAGTGGCTCTCATATCCCGGCTATATCTGTTCTTAGGGGGTCAATATCTGTTCAAAGTACCCTAAGTGGCCTATATGGCGTTCTCTTTGTCTTTAAAGTAAATACTTTCTGGTGAGTCTTTTACCATTTTGGTTCGTTAAATAAATAAAGTCTTGGTTTTAAAAGGGAGTTTTAAAGTATTGTGGTAATTAGCAAAGCGAAATTGAAATCACTCCTCACTCCATTTGGGCATTTTTTTTTTTGGTTAGAGCATACACACAAAAGGACATAACAAACAAAATGCAAACTAATGTTGAGGACCTTTTTCAATGTTTGAATGTCTAACATTCTTTGTGCTATTTGATATACATCCAGAATATTGTTCTGTCGTTAAAATGCAAAAATAAAATTAAGAAAAAAATATCTTCCGAAAACCTGCAAAGCACACAATTAAAAGTCTTTTCTTTTTAAGAACAGAGATCGAGAATGAATCATAACAGGGTTTGGTTCCACATGCATACCGATGTGACAATATTGTCACTAAATAAATAACCAAAAGTAATATGATACACTTCTAATTAATTTTTCTACTCGGACTCCCTTTTAATTTTGATATTTTGCTCCAGTAGCACAAGTAGTTTAAATAACAATACTTGTTCGAGCAAGTAGAATTGTATTTTTTAATTACGTGTTTAAAGAGTACGTATAATTTTCATTTTTTCTTTTTAAGTCTGGATCCAATTTCCCCAAGTTTATTAAATGGACAACTGTACTCTAAACAAAGTACATACGACTTACTTGAGCATAACTTTGACAACGTATATTTCATGCATGGGGAGGAATTTAATTTTTAGAGATATTCTTAAATATCTATTGCAGTAAGAAAAATTAATTGATTTAAATATGCAAAGTTGAAATTCAATAGGTTTTGTATCAGATGCGTGTTTCGGAATATATTGACTTCGTGTATTTCTGTCCATTAATTCAACATGAAGTGATGGTAGGCATTCTGTACTAAAAAAGCTAGAAAGTTGTTAAGTACGTCACGGGTAAGCAGTTCTTATTTTAATTCTCCAAATCTTATATTTATAAAGTTCCACTCGTCCTTCAGAGGAGTGAGTGTCTAACCATGTGTTTACTTTTTTGTTCCTTAATATTTTTCTTTTAACACCTGCATGTTAGGTATGTCTGTAGAATTAATTTAAAGTTACAAAAGTAACTGGAAACCTCACGAAACAGACCTTGTCAATAGAAATCTCCCCTGACCTATTGCTTTTCTTCGATACAACATTGCAAGTATGAAGTTTAAATTTGCAAGAATATTTATCGCATATCTATCTGAGTAGGAAAATCTAGGAGTTTTTTAAAAGTGTTCCTGTAATACCAGTATGATAAAGGAATGTGTGGGAATTTTTTTTTATTTGTTCTGAAATGTTTAAACAAAACGAAGGTCTAACTCTGACAAAAACAGCTGACGAATAATCCTCTAATCCAAAACAGAAAGTCATGATAAGATCGTAAAACCGAATGTAAGGTCAGATATTAGACTAATTCAATTAGT